GGGGCGCGGCGGCCTCGCGCGGGCCGGCAGCCTCGCCGCACCTGCTGGCCGGGACAAAGGCGCGCCGGGCCCGGAAGCTCCCGCGCCCCTTTCCCTCTGGTCGCGGGACAGCTTCAAAGCTGTCAACGTTTCCTTAGTCCCCGTACCAGTGACAGGTCAGGAAAGCCCTCCTTTTCCTCCTCAACACGGGGCCTTCTTTTTTGGTTCTTGTTTCTTGACGGTTCGATAGAAACTCTCTTTAAGAATTTTCTTTCTTTCCGTGTTATTTGTTCAAGCTGAATATTTTTCATTCGGACGTATATTGAGAGTAGAGAGTACATATTTCAACTTTTCATCTACACCGCCACAAACATTTGGGCTTTTAAGAACTATTTGGAAAGAAAAAAAAATTGGTTATAAAGTATTTTTTGTCAAAGTTTTCTTAATGTCTGGGAAGGAAGCAGCTTTGTTACTGTACGAAAGTAATCTTGATATAAAGGGGAAGAAAGTGGTAAAAATATAGAAGAAATCTTGAGAAATAAGTGGCAAATAGTAGAGTGTGTAGTATAGTTGTGTATGTTGAAGTACATGTTAAGTTGGACTCCTTAAAAATGATTTTAGTGGCTTCTCCCTCGCCCCATTTACTAGTAAGTGTACTTTTCCTAAAATATATATGATCTGGAAGCAATTTGGATTAATACAAATATTAAAAGAGAAGTATAATTTTTGCTTGGATAATTGTTAATCGTTGTTTGAATCTTAAGATCCAAAATGGAAGATTGAAAAAATATGTTAAAAAAAAAGAGATCAAATATGTTTTGAAGACGAATTTGAAGTTAAAACAGTAGCAAATGTGTGTGTGGGTCTATGGGAGGACCTTAATCACTTTCTCGGGATTGAAGAGTGTATAAATTACCTTAAGTAATAATTCTTTAAATGTCCAAAGTAAGTAAAATATAGTGTATTTATGTATATGATAAACTGCTGTCAAGCCATTAGTATATGTATGATTTTTCACATTTATTTAAGAAAAGTAGGTTACTAAGGCATGGATATTAAAGACTGACCCTAAACGATAAAGGATAGTTTTGCTCTGGGAAGTAGGATTACTATGTGTTTTCCTGTTTTTTTTTGCCTTTGATTCTTTTGTTTTCCAAAATTTTTCGAAGTATTTCTCCTGTGTTTCCAAGAATACTAAAAACATATTGTCAAAATGCACGATCTGGGTATGAGTCGCTATTCTTCCAGTTACACATTATGTATTCTTTACTGCTCTATCAATTATTGTTATCAGACTTTTTGACTTACAACTTACACCTGGAATTGAACTACAGAATTTGTAAATTTCCTTTTTCCCCCACCTCTGCCACGATTGAACCCAGAATCTTCACACTGAGCTACATTACCAGGCTTTTTTTGTTTTTTTAGACAGGGTCTTAAGATGCCCAGGCCAGACTCAAATTTGCAATCTACTGGGCCAGGGAGATAGCTCAGAATAAGCGCTTGCCTGGCAAGCACAGGATCCTGAGTTCAATCCCCGATACCGAAAAAAAAAAAAAAATTGCAGTTTATTGTCTCAGCCTCTCAGAGTGCTGGGATGACAAGTACCTGATACAGAGCCAGGTCATCTCTTTGTTCTTTGTGATAAATGATTTAATGAAGGGATTGCCTTTTTAAACTACACACATCAACATTTATTTTAAAGGTGTCACTTTAAGTGCACTTTTAGAATGTTAAAGAGATAAATTGTGAATTCAACACTGTTCTATAGGACAAGGCTACAAAAAATGAAGACCGTTCTTGTACAGAGGGAGCATATAGTCCTAGAGTTGTGCTTCGAAGTTTCAAAGTGATTTCTTATATATGTCTGTTTTCAAGGTAGCAACAATCCAAAAGGATATGTGCCCACTTTCTTGTTCTTGACTTTAAAAATGAAACAGATCCGAGGTAACTCAAGCAGGATCAGGGGGCGGTGGAAGATCTGGCACTCCTAGTTTTCTCTGTGTGCTGTTACTTTGAGCCCAGCACATTGCTTTTGTGGCCAAACTTCTAAATTAAATGCATTCCTTGGGTTCAAAATTTTTGATAATTATCTTTATATTGCATCTTTTTCTTGTCTTACTATAGTAAATTAATGCTTACAGGAGTTTTGTATATTTTGTCATCTTAGCAACATACTTATACTGTTGATTCACATGTTTTGTCATTTGTTTTTCAGTGGATTATTTATAAAAAATAATTCTTAATTGCCAAAATAGTTGAGAGCTTTTAAAGAAACCTTGCTATGTGTGTATGTTATGTCTTCTCAATGCAAATAGGAAAGAAATGTCTTGAGTTTTGGGAGGGGAAGGGTTTTCTAGATGCGGTTCACATGAGCCATTCTTGGTTTGTTCCAGCTTGCGAATGCTTGGTGTCACATGTGAGCCTCACACATGTGTTCACTCTCCTTTTCAGCTCTGTGATTGACTAGGAAGCATTTGGGCAGGCATGCTTCATTCCTGGCATTGACGGTCATTCCATGTGAGTAAAGAGGAACCTCAGTGTGACATCCATAAGCATGTGAAAGCATTTGGTTTTAAAATGGAGGAAGGAGCTTGGTTGGTGGCACATGCCTGTAATCCCAGCACTCTGGAGGCTGGAGTAGAAGGACCACAACTTTGAGGCCAGCCTGAACTACATCTCGAGACTGTGTCACAAAAATAAATCAGTAAATACAATAGAGGAAATATCAGGTGCCATTAGTGCCTGAGTCTCTGTGGCAGTTTTATAGGTGCAAGAAAAGTGGTATTCCCATTCTCTGTAGTTTTCATTATCTTTTGTAGCAGTTTCATTTGAACGTTTTCTCTACTCATTTTTACTCCTGACTCTTTTCGATGTTCCTTTTCTCTGCCTTCTCTTTCAGTTTTGAATATACTAACATTGAATCAGCACTTCTAAAGTCCTGCCTTCTCACTGGCTTCAGTTGGCCTTCAGACATAATGAGGAGACTGGCTTTTCGAGGCGCTGGTTGTGCTCTGGTAAAGCTGGTAAATTACTGATTATCTACACCCTTTCCCTTTTCTGTCATTTTTTTCCCTTTCCCCTTCCATCTTTCTTAAAGTTTTATTATCCTCTCCATAAAAGGTCCTTCCTGTGTTCATCAAATTCACGTGTGTCCTTGTCATAGATTGTTTACAAAGGATTGGTCCTTTAACTTGAATTTTGGCCATGTTAGCTGAATAAATACTGACAAAACTTAGCTGTCCTTATTTTAGCCTTTAGAAGCTTCTAGCCGACTTCAGACTAATATCCTTACGGTAAAACAATCTAAAGGAACATCATCATGATAGATTATGGTAAACTCCATGTGGACTTTATTTTGGAGGAAGACAGTTGAGATTTCTCTTGTTTTTTAGTTGCTTACCACAATTTTTTGTAAACTGCTCCTGTTTTCTGTTTCTTGGAGATGACCAACTTTTTTCCTGGTACTACTGGCAGCCAGTGTTTTACTGTTTCTATTCATTTTTAGCTGCCTGAAAATGAATGTTGTGACTGAAACAGGAATCCTTTTTTATCATCTGTCTTTAGAAAAAGACTTTCGAAATTATGATACACTATTTGGCACTATTTTGGTCCTATTATTATATTGCATAAGCCTTTGTTTTAGAGTTTTTGAGTGTATAGCATTTCTGTATAACTAGCAGATTCTTTTAGTGGTACTTTTTTTTTTTTTTTTTTTTGGTTAGGGCTGGGGTTATAGCTCAGTGGCACAGCACCTGCCTGGTAAGCACAAGGTCAAGAGTTTAATTCCCAGTACCAAGAAAAAAAAGCTTCTGGTATTTTTTGTTATAGTCAAATGCATAGATTCGTAAAATTGTGTGAAGATTATTTTCTTAGCAACCAGCCTAAAACTGCTGCAAAACAAAATAAAAATAGGTGTTTTTGTGTTTCTGAATATGCAAACAGAAGCTAAAAGCTTACCTCTGAGGTGTTCTCGCTGATCATCTAGTCCAGTGGTGGCGAACGTAGGGCATATATGCTGCAACAGGCTGTTTAAATCATTGAACACTTGAAAAGGATTACTATTCTGATCTAGTTAGACTTAAAGTTACAATTAAAAAATTTGCAGTTATAGAGCATATCATATTTAAAAAGGAGTTAGTATGGATTACAGAAGTTTCAAAGCACCATTTTTCTGCTTCTGCCTACGTATGGCAAGTCATACTTAGTATTTTATAGGGGCATAGCTTATGGATCCTGCTTTTTTTTTTTTTTTTTTTTAATTATTTTGTACAGGGTTTTACTACTGGGCTACATAGTGATCCTCCTGTTTTCCTCCCAGCGCTGGGATTACAGGTGTGTGCTGGCCTGGCTCTGTGCGTCCCAAGGGCAGGGCCAGTGTGGTGTGTGGTGCTGGGGATCTGAACGCTGGTCCTTGTGCTTGTCTAAGCAAGGGCTTAGGCCACTGAGCTATCTTGCAGGCCCTGGATCCTGCTTTAATGAGTGTGGAAACTTTGTTTTCAAGGTGTTCGTTTTCAGTGAATCTAAAATGCTAGAAAGATAACTTTGTACTATTCTCTACTTCCCCCCCCCCACTACTTATTTGCCTTATGCACTCCTTGCTGATGTTTTCCACATCATGGCCCACTTTGGAATTGATCATAATTGTGAAGCACAAGAAAGCAGAGCACGCTGCTGATATCAACAGTTACTATTTTGGGGCCTCTGTCTCAGAGGGCTACCCTGGTTGCTTCAGGGGTTTAGGGATCAGTACCCTCAGGGCACTGTTATACCACTTGCTACTTGTAGTTTAGGAAGTGGCAGTCCAAGATAACTTTGGGACCCAAAGTGCTTAAGTCATCAAGG